ATTTCTTTCTTTTCCTTTAGCGGACCTAGTTAGGCCAGTCTGGAGTCTTTGTTACTGTTGTTAACCTTTAAATCTGAATAATCTTTATAGCTTCTCTCCTTGGAACAACGCCTACGTCGAATCGAAACGTTGGTGGGAGAGACAGATCCATGTCGGCAGCCGATCGCTGATTTCATGGAAGACATACGGTATGTCAGCATAGATGCAAAATTCAAAAAGTAAAGAGGGGGAGGGTGATCAGTGTGGAGCGGATTTTTAGTGTTCTCTGATCAAATTTGAAAACATCACTCGATTTTTCTTCCAATTTTTACGTGAAGCTCCGGGACTGAATGACTTTATTCGCCTACGTTGGTGTGCTATCATTTGCGCCACATTTACATAGGGTAAATGTTTAGGTTCCGCCTTGATGCACTCAGTCCTTCTTACATCGAGGGGATGGAGACGAAGCTCAATTCACTCATGTCGAAGTTAGATCAGGTAAAAGTGTTTTTGATATGGAATGGTGTTAATGAATTTCTTTGCCAGTTTTGTCTTTTCCTAGTTGCTTAATCCATTTGCCTTAGCTTAGATTTCGAATTTTTCCGTAGTGATGCTCAATGATTGGGCCATATTTCTCGTTTATGCCGTGCTCACAACTCATAGTGACTCGAAGCTCCGAAGACAATTTCGTGCTCTATGAAGAAGCGCAAATAGTTGACCTGTAAGCTGAAATTAGTTTGACTGTACTGTAACAAGGCAGTTTTGAGGATTACAAATTTTGGTAGGGTGGGCTATTGAGTGCATTCGATTTTCATCCACAATCGTTGTTGTTTCTGAGTATGTACTTGACCGATGCGCACTGCCAACCGGTGTACCGTTCAATCTTCCACACGAGCCTGCCTGCATTCAACCAACTCCGGCGCAATTGAACGCTTTTTTGGCAGAGGGCAGTGTCGATCTGGTATCTGATTTCCAAACTCCGCGGGTAGTAAGGGCACGACTTACCACACATTCTCTCCTTTCCAGGCTGTGGTAACGCGTAGGATCAAGCACAGTTTTTCCCGCATACACTGTTGCGTTTTCAGTTACTAAGTTGCTACCCAAGAAGGAAAGATAGGCGAAGGGTAGTAGCCTGAAGCCTTGACATATCCGCAACTGTACCACCTCCGCTCGAAACCAAGCGTAAGCATAACTGCAAACAGGTACAGCCTTAGCGTCCGAACATTCTCGTAATATCGCAAGTAAATGAATGAGCTCACATAGTGGGTCGCTTGCTTGTAAG